CATCTAGTTGACATGCAATAAACGGGTGGACATCCACTTGAGCTATTAGGGTGGCTGTTGGAGCACATGAGGCAAGGTGAGTTTCATTTTGTGATGAACTCGGTGTTTTGCTCGGTGTGGACTTCATCTCACTGTGTTGCATGTGTTTGGGGAGTGTTCTGTGAATGGTTTTGGTGGATTGGGTGTATGTATTGCTGTTGGGGAGGGACCCTGGCATTTGATGGCCGCCAAAGTTGGTGCAGTTCGCTGTAGCGGCTTGTGGGCATTTCATCGAACAGCTTCTGTGCATGCTGCTGTGCTGAGGGAGCCAATGTAGACCTCTGCTGAGCTGATATGGGAAGAGAGGGCTGGGCCTACAAAGGGGGTAAAATGGACTTGTGTGGTGGAATGGGCTGGGTTGGCAGAGAGAATAATGGCCCAATTGTAATAGGAACTTTTGTACTTTTGCAGGGATTGAATTTAGATGACATGTATAAATGAAACTTATAATTTGGACTGTATTTATATTTTGGAATGTATAATTTGAACATTTGATTTGACTCTGTATAATTGAACTGTATACTTAATGTATAATTAATGGGACTGTATAATCTGGACATTTAATTTGATTCTGTATATTTGACTGTGCTTGTATAGTCAAATATGGGCTGCATATGTGGACATTTGAAATTGAAATTGAAATTTGATATTGAGTTTCTCTGTATTTAGCTTGGATGGGTGCACCATGTTACCAATTATAAATTTAGGATCAACGCCAGATAAACAGTTTCATCGGTCGTCATAGGATTTCTTTGTAAGCATTTCGCACGAATGCACGACGATAACAAAGAAGCGATTTTAGGGACGACGTGTGGCATACAAATCCAATCGTCGAGGTAGAAATAAAACCGAGAATGTTCGAATCGACGCACGATAAATAAATACGTCGATTGATTGTAAATATTCGAGGGAATTATCGAGTTCGAAACGACAAAGTGGTTTTAAAATAACCGTAGGATAACAATTTGAGAGAGCGATATTATTGCGGTGAGGGCTTCAGGTCTGTGATTAATTTCGCACTGAAGCGCTTAATCAATAAACGGAGACGATGAGGAAAGGAAAGGATGTCACACAGGGGACAACCTTTTAGGGAAAAGAATTTAATAAAGATCTTTTGGCACAATACCTAAACACACACACAAATCACAAATCTTATTATACAAACTGGGCTAGGCCTTTCCGGGAGAAAAACCAGACTTTATCTGAGAATGCCATTTCTTTTAAAATAGCCTTGTTGGGATTCATTTGGCAAATAGAATTCTTATAAATAATTTACTAGTAGATATTATTTGCAAGTTATTTTTCAAAGTACTTAACCCTTTACAGTGATTCTTAGAAAATAATCAAAACAATATTTCTTTTGTAAAATAGTATTTATTTTTATGAACTATCCCATAGGGGTATCCATCCAAAATAGTAACAGATAACTTTATATACAGAGCAAATATGTCAGAGGGGTTCTATTATATAGAGAAGGGTTTTAAAGAAAATAACTAGTATTAATATATTTCATAATCATGGTTCTTTAAGTAAATAATATTTGAAATCAAAATACATGCATATTCTCAAACGTTCGTCCTTTAGCCCATACATAATAGCAAAATGGGAAATAAAATCAAATAAATTCTAGTATGCAAGGGAGTTTAAAAAGATTTTTGGTTATTCCGAATTTTTAATTCCGTATTTAAAAAACAAAATTTTTAGGGTGTTACAGTAATACAGTACAAGAACTTGAGAATCAAACGTCCAAGTGTAACAACAGCAAAAGGTGGTACGTTCTAGTATAAGAAATTGACAATTTAGTTTTATGGTATGACAATTTGGCTAAGTATCCGTTGTTCTATTTGGTTAATGGGTGCTAGGAGAGATGCTTTCACGAAATCAATATGCCGTCATATAACAATCCTATGGATATCACTTTAAAATTTTGAATCTAATATTTAAGAATTACGTTGCACATCCAATTTGCGCCACCCGTTTGGATTTTGTTTTCTCGACCTTCTCAAATCTCAACAGAAATATAATATTTTCTGCATGGTAAACTTTAATTGACTTTCAGTTATGAAAATGAAGAAAAAATAAATACGCTTACACAAATCCGCCCTACTATGTTGGCAAAATAAGTATAAAAAAATTGAATCCGTATTAAAAAATGAGTTATCACATCACTTCTCAACTTATTATACCAAATCACACACATCTTGCAAGTTGTTCCACTCGTACGCTCACATATAAAATTCTTAGACTAAATTGTACTCACTTGCCAAGTTGTTTTACAAGGATGCTCATTTCTCAAGTTCTTGCACCAAATTACAGCCACCTGCTAAGTTTATGCACCGTGTATACAATTTACTCTAATCAAAATTTGAATGTTTCTTGACATAAGCTTTCCCCTAACTGAGAATTCAAGCTATCTGAAATAACCTTACAGAGATTAGATATAGTGGAATGAGTTGCTATCAAGTCTTATTCATGAAATCAAACAAATATTGCAAAACTGTTATTAGCATTTAGTATGTAACATGTAACATGAAACTAATTTTACCAACTTGAAACTGTAGGAGGACAATTTATAGTAAAAACATGTTTGCGCTATCCTATACAGTGGTTCTATGTCTCGTTTGGCATGATGATTGAGTGGACTATTAGTAAAACTTGTTCCTGTATGTGTATAGGTAAGATAATAAACAAATTTGATAAAATTGGACCAAGGGAGCGCTTGAAATTTGCAAATGTGTAGAAAATAAGGGAACGGAGACAGTGTAGCACTACCGTAAAAACAAAAAGAAACAGTGTAGCACTTAAGATCAATTTTTTGTCTAGGAATAACACTATAATAAAAACAGGTAATGTATCCTATTGACTATAGATAATCGGCAAAACTAAAGTGTTCTAGAAAATGAACTGGTAGGTGACCCTTCATTATCATCGATCGGGAAGGGATGAAGGTAATATTATAGCTCTCAAGATGGAGGGCGATGATGGTGTGTGAGGACTGCCCTAATTGTATAGGAAGAATTGCATGAGAGTTTTGAGAGAATAAATTGGGATTAACCAGGCCAATTGTATAAACAATTATTATTGCCAGTTTCTAGTGGCTTTAATGGCTAGGTGACACAAGACTGCAAGAGGTAGGCGATGAGGTGACCAACAGTTTGACATCTTTTAGATCTAACAGTGTTGCTGTTAGAGTTTGACATTGATATAATTAATGGCTTAAATAAATAAGGTGATGTGGCTGCCTAGAATTGCAGCTAATGGTGATAATTATATAATAATAGTAGATATAGGATTACAACAATTTCCAAGTGAAATCCAGTCAAGAAAAATCTTGTTCATTATTTTCTATCTACAATTACAACCTCTTTAATTCCTGAAACTTCTTTGTTATTTACTGAGTTGAAGTGTCAAACATCACCAGATATACTGAGCTCACAAGATAACATACTTTATGTTATATGGGCCAAACATGGCCCACTCTGATATGAGTTGCTAGGAATTAGATTTGGGGACAGCCGTATGACAAAGAGAAACAAATGTATCATATTGTTAATGAGTAACTGATAAGGCAATGATTTGATACGACAAGTTTTGGTAATTTCACCTGTTTTTGCTGACCACTTTATAGAAATAAAATGGAATTAAACTTAGTGCAAATCCCACAAACTTACATATAAATAAAGATAAATGCACAAGGCAAAGACAACCTAAAATGTGAGAAAACCTCACTGACGACTAATTCCAAGTGGATAACTTTAAAATATTGGTTCTCCCGTCGTTGCCAATTTGTACCTACATAATAAAAACTGTATGGGCTTTGTAAAGAAATTAAATGACAAATATAAATACAAATAGCAAGTGATGTTGGCTACCCTAAATGCAAGCATCTTAAGCCTTCCATATCTCTGTTAGGTGGTAAAGTTTTCTCTGATTTTTATACTTTTTATCCTCTTTTCAAAATTTATTTTATAAATAGACTCTACAGAAAACTCATCACGGAAATTGACCTCTATCTCGGTGCTAGCTTCATTGACACCAAGGTATACTTGGTGCCATTCACGCTGGCGCCAAGGTGTGCCGTTCGCAAGACCCACCAAAAAGATTACAACAAAAATAGTACCATCACAATTAATGCAAGGTATTTTGATTTTATCTGAAGTAAAACTTCGTTAAATCAACTAAATTTATATGAAAACGTAGCAACATTAATTTTACCACCAAACAAATATGTTAAAAATAATATTTAATGGTGATTTAATGAAATTAATTTGCTGTTGTAAATGTTTCTATACTTTTATATGAATTTGATAACTAACCAATGACAAAAATAAATATTAAACACCTACGTTCTGAAACAAAGGAAGTACGTACTATCTGTTTTACATTCTTAAATGTGATGGAAGAAAAAGACAATAGTCGGGTATATATACGCAACATTGTTATAGATCAAACATAGGCACAACTGCAAGTGACAATACATGCATAGCTTTCTATATTTTCTAGTTACAGAGAAATAACTTAAACCTAGCTAAATTTGAAACTGGCGTTCAGAGTTTTAAAAATGAAGTTAAATTATCAACCCAATTGGCCTTCTTGGAGTGCTCTTTCTAATACCATGTTACAATAAATTGCCTTATGTAGGATCGAACAAGAATAACCAAATTTACTAGAGGAGGTAAGTGATAGGAGCAGCAAAAACCTAAAACTTTTAGGGAATAAAAGACACCCTCTAACATGAATAGAGATGCGGTCCAACCGCTTATGCGTTGCTGGTCCAACTGCCGTAAGGCTATCAGTCTGACCAGCCACGTGCCATCAGTCTAACCACTGTGAAGCTGTTGATCTGACCATTGGAAAACAAAAAGTACAACTCGATAAAAAATCTAACTTTATTATACCAAGATGTATTTACAAAGTACACCTACAACACTCCTCTCAACGTAGGCCAAAACCCTTTTTTCTCTCTCTCCAAAATTTATTCTCTTAAACTCATTCCGAGAACCTAAACCTCACATCTATTTATACCCTCATATGGCTGTCCACAGCCACAAATCCAACATGGATTAGTAATTCGTATAAATATCCAACTTATCCCTTTACATATTTAAAGCTCAAACTTCCCAAACTTAGATTCCTGCTAAATTTGACCCTGCTTTTCATACACACAATTCCTATTGTATACCATATGAAACCTTCACCTGCACGTGTATTGTTCATGAGCCTTAGTAGCCCGCATGAGCTCCTTGATCATCCGGATATCAACTTCTCCTAAGTTGACTTTCGATCCATAACCGACAATACTCTCCCGAGCCCTCAAGCAATACTTACATATGAATAAACAAAGAAACTATATCCGAGCATAAGTTCTTTCTCAACATGACTTACATTAGCACACCAGTATATCTTACTATATAAATCATCTAGAAGCCTTGAATATGAAGCAATTACGGATATCTCACCATAAGTTTCTTAGTTGAATTGTCTCACCATATTTCTTGGTGAGCTCATATGATGATAACATTGGCATATATACTCTAATGGTAATAGACTTGTCACTGAAGATCATAGGAATCTCTCTCATTGGTACGTACACTTCAGTCCTTGCAACCGATGTTAGCATCCAGCTGCACATTTCCCTCTTCAAAATAATAGTAGAACTAAAACATATGTAAGCTTTACAATTCTATCAACACAAGCTCACAAGTGTATATGCTAAGGGAACATCAAGTGCTTCCATTGTTTCAAACAAATAACCATCTTCTAGATCACAACCAAGAATTTGCACGTTGGAGACATTCTGAGTTCCATGGCCATGAAAGCACTGAAAAACAACAAACATTCCAAGTCCCAGCGAAGCGCTGAAAGAAAGATACAACCATATGGTCAGTGACACAATCCACATTAATACGAAGAGAATCCTTAGTCAAGTTTCAAGTAACAGGGAAAAAAGTTAAAAGGGAACAGCTTGGAGGATTATTAATGACATCCTGCATCATGACATTCTATAGGAATTAATCCTATATTTCTATAAAGTTAAAGCCCACTACATCTTAAAGCTCAACATGCAAAGATGCCACATCATCCACTAACATTTAATACATCTTAAATCTCATGCAAGCATGCTAATTTATTAAGTTTTAGAACTTTAAAATGCAAGCATGTTAATTAAATTATCATCCCACATAATCCACATAATATTTCAATATACCTCTCCTTCACTTTTTATAATATCCTATATGCTTATATAGTTTATCCTCACTTAAAATTTTAGAGCTTACAAAAATCCAAGCACGTTAAATCATCATTTCACATAATTCTCAAAATATTGCAATATATCTCTCCATCATTTTGTATAATATCTATATACCAATACAATTCATTCTCACATAGTTAATGTTATTTCTTGCTTCTCTCATTAAGCTATATCACCTCAATTGTTTCTAACGCTCAAATGATTAATTTATGGTTGGAATTATCTTCCTCATTTTCTTCTTCCATAAAGCCACATCATATTACTTTTAAATTTGGGTCATCATTCTGTATACTATTTAAATTATTATAAACCACATCAACTTATGCAAGTTTCTATCGTCTAGCTATCTCACACATTATTTATATTTCTTATTATCATACCAAACTCCTGCAGCAACGCGCGGGGTTTCATCTAGTATAATTAATAATTAAGAGCAAGGGAACACAGCTTGGAGGATTATTAATTACATCCTACATCCTGACATTCTATAGGAATATAATTAATAATTAAGAGCAAGGGCCGCAGCAGCAATCTGTGCATTCCTCCTGCCGTCGAAGAGCACAACAGCAGCCTCTGCAACAAATCGCTCCAAACGACTCCCCAACCCCGCAAACAGAAGAAAGAAACTCATCTCATGATCGCTGCTCAGCATTCGGCATCGACGAGGAAAGGGATTTGGAGGCCTTTAGAGAAGCTCACCGCGGGATCGCTGGTGCAGACAATATCCATCTGGCTAGCGGAGCAAACGATTTGTTGTCGTCGCCGTCGTCGCTGCCTCCTCCTCCGCCACGCCTCCTCACTCAATCCCGCGACTGGTTGGCCGGTGTCTCCATCGATTAGCCTCTCTCCCCTCCCCCTCTCCCGATTGGATCTGATGATTCAAAAGGAGCTGTACCAATGTGGGGTTGGGAAAAAAACAAGATGGTGTATGTGCAAAATGTACATAGGCTGGTGCGGGGGTCATTTCATAAATGTAACAAGGAGATCTGGGATGTACATTTTGGATCCAATGGTCCACAATCTGGTTTCCATGTTTGCATCATAAGTACAGTTTCCACTACATATATTATAGTATATATCTAACATTGGGCCCGCTTATTTCATATACTAATCTCTCTCATTGATGTCATGTTATTGTGAATAGCTACTTCTTACGTGAGACACCATGTATCTCTCCTCGCTTTAGTTCTTTGCCAAATCAGCACAAGTCCTATGGAAAAAAGAAACTCCTCTAATTTACTATCCTCTGTTGTGGGTCGTTGACATATGAACCCCCAAACTGAGGCCCATATACCAGCCACTTAAATTCGGAAGACACTAAGTTTAGAGGAGCTGGTTCCAGTGCTATGCATGTGTACGGGGGCATCCTATTCACTGTCCACGAGGAAGTATATATATATTGGGAATGCAACCTTATACCCCTATGATTGTCAATGTTTAAGTTGTGTCAAATAGGCAAGGTCACAGGTAATCCCAATCACGGTATAGTACTATAGGTGTAAAATATATTACATGCCAAAAGCATGCAGAAATAAACAATGCATTTTTGTCAACTTTTTTAGTTTGAGATTTTCTTGATTTATCTATCTTCTCCTTGTCTTATATATAATGTAATTTATGACTGGAAAATTGTATATGTGCTTCTCATAGTTAATTTTGTTGACATATATATTTGACACGTTAGTGCAACACGTACACGTCCCCGCTAGCGCATTGCTGCGAGGACGGCGCGCATGCCAAAGTTCATACATGTGCAAATTGTACTATAAATTGGTATGACATAACAAATGGCCTAGTGAAACAAATGACATATCATCCCCAATGCGATATTGTAGAAGTTTCAATATTCCTCGATAGCATATATATTGTAGAACTAGGTAAACGCCAATGACAAATTATAGTCAAATGAATTGCCATGCATATGCGTGCATTTTTGTGTACAAACTTGTAATGTACAAGACATTAATCGGAAATTTCATATCTTGATAATTATAACCAGTAGAAGTTAGAACAACTAGTTCCCATACTTATTACTGTACCAAGTTGTTGATAAACACAACTAGTTTAACATCTATATATGGAATAAGTAAATGCTAATTATCATAATTGTGCAAAATGGTGCAACTCCTCGCCATCCTTGGAAGAGATGTACATATATATAACCTATAAAATGACTATGATCCATAGTATCATTTTTTGCTGTATAATCCATCTATTACTTTGGATCTAATGGACCTGATTCTATTAGACAACACCCAGTAGCATAGGTACTAGAAATTTTGAACAGGTAAAAATATAATTGAAATTAATTGTTGTACTCCCAAATTAATTCTGGATTTTTTATAAATAATTAATAAATATAAGTTAGAAATAATTTGATTGTGTAGTTTTCTTCTTTTTTTTGGCTGTTGTTAATTGGATTTATAAATCTCTATGAATTGAAGAGGAGATACATAAGATAGTGTTGAAGCCATACCTATTTTAATTTCCAAGGGGTGTAATATAATATTTTCCTAACTATGTTGTAGTTTGCAGGATAAAATGTTTTTATTTGATTAGTTTGCAGGATAAAATGTTTTTATTTGATTTGAAATTTGTTATCGATAATTCATTTATGATATTTTGAAGTTTTAACGTTTCGCAGTGGATCAATGCTTTGTTACTCCATCTCCAAAATCTTGCGTTTGCTAGACAACCGCTTTGTGTAGTAACTCATGAAGTCAAAATATTATAAATTCGCTACAACCTATTAACTAGTCTGTCGCCTCTCATATAGAACTTACTATATAATTAAATAGAAGATAGTAAAAATTAAAGTATGATATAATTTATATTCGATGATGCTTGAATTTAAATTAAATATTTACCATGTGATATTAAAAAAGCTACCACGTGCAGGTGCTTAATTAATTAGGTGGAGCATGCATGTCTACGCTCCTGACAAATTTTCTTTATTAGTTTACTTTAGGTGACATGCAAAGTTTCCTCCATAAAAATTTTGCCCATATAGGAGCATGTCTCTACGCTCCGGAATCTACTTTATTAATTTATCCCCATAGCAGTAAATTTAAAAATATACTGTTCATTCAATTTTTTCTCATGAATATTCGGGATATAAAATTTTTTGTGTAAATATACCGTCGATCTTGCACAACCGTTGCGCGAAACCAAGGTGAGTATGACGTCATGGGTGCTATCGCGCGTTGAAAGTGGGAGAACGCACGGTCTCGCGCAGCGAAGGCACGAGAGCGCGCGGTTTCGCGCAATGGAAGAGCGAGACCGTTCGGTCTCGCGGAATCAAACAGCGAAACTGTCCACCGGCTCCATTTAATTAGTGCTTAATTAATTAATTAGCATAACTAATAATAATTAGTAACTGATTATCCTAATTAGTGATTAATTAATAATTAATTAATCTCTAATCAAGATAATTAGTCGCTAATTGAATCAACATGGCACCGGTCTCGCTCAATGCTTACGCGAGACCGTTCTGTCTCGCTGTACCATTCCGCGAGACCGCGCGGTCTCGCACTGTTGTCCCGCGAGACCGTGCGGTCTCGCGCCTTTGCCGCGCGATACCGTCCACGACGTCATTCCCACGTCATTCTCGTGCAACGGTTGTGCGAGATCGACAGTATATTTACGCAAAAAATTTTACATCCCGAATATTTATAAGAAAAAATTGAATAAATAATGTATTTTCAAATTTAATTCCCTAGAATGCATGCTCTCAAAACAAGGATGTTACCATCTTGCTCTCCCCGGTCATAAGTGAGTGATGTTTTGAACGGCAACATGGTCACTAAAAATAGAGAAGTTTTACGGTACATTGTACTGTAAATATATACTAGCAGTATATTTGATCTAACGGTGTAAATTCATCAAATCTTCCACCTAAATTAACTTGCATTATAAATTGAATAGGATATATTTGTCTTTTTTATCTTTTTGCATGGGGTATTTTTGTATTTTTGTGTTTCCTTCCCCTTCCTTCGTCCCTTTCACTACCACCCCCGCCGACAGCCACTGCGCCGCGCCCCTGGCTCGGCGCCAACAACCACTGTGAGCAAGCGCCGCCCCCATGCCGCCGCTAACGGAAATTGAATCGAGTTACCGTCCTCCTTTCCTCCTCTTGTGACTTCTAACATTCCTTACCCAAAACTCTAGGTCTGCCCAAAATTCTCCAACTCCACCATCGACGGCTCGGTTGCGCGGGAGGGGGTGGATAGTCGAAGACACAGAAGGGCGCCGGGCCGCTGGGGGCTCGTCCCGAGGCGCGCGGCGGCAAGGTGATGCGGAGCAGTCAAGGGTCGTGGCTTCCGGCACCCGGGCGCAGCTACTACAGGCGGCAACAATGGTGCATGGCATCCGGGCGGCGGCAGCAGGCAGTAGGAGGAGGCAGGGCAGCAGCAAGGAAAGGGCAGCCGACAGGCAGCAAGCAGCAAATGAATAGTAAGAGGAAGTGGCATCACAAAAAACGCTAGCGCGAACAGATGACTAAGATCCATGGACAATTACTCCTAATAAAAATAAATCTCGAGTCTCAATTTCAAATTACTAAACAAGTCTTTCCAGATTTTTAACAAATACCAAAATATATACTTGCAGTAGAATGTACCGTAAAAGTCCTCTAAAAATATTGGTTTTATAATTAGTTACTATTATAAAATCTATGAAAAACATAGTAAAATTATAATATTTTATAACTAAGGACGAACCTAGCCATGAAAATCTGAATCGACACAAAAACATTGATGGTCAAATGTTAGATATATTTAGTTATATATATGCACGGTATCTTATCTAAAAGTAATGGTACCAAGATATCCTGTGATGCCAAATATTATATTTATAGGACTCAAATATATAGAGAGAGGTCTCAAGCATAAACTACTCATGGATTTTGCTGCCCAACCATAGCATATAAAATATACCTAGTTGGCCGATACATGTACTTATATATATATATATATATATATATATATATATATATATATATATATTTTAGGACTGGCTGTATCACAAGCATACAATGGGAAAGTATTTTGGTCCTCGAGGAAATGCCCGCTCGTTTCTTATATATCATTTAGTTATGAAATATTTTTTTAAAAGAATAACAAGGTATATTAATATAAGTATACCACTTTATAGATATGCAACAAGTTTAAATTCAAGTTATCCAAGCTCTAAGAAAAAAGAAGAAATGTAATTGTGAATATACGTATACTAGTTCCTTTTTATTTATCTTTTATAACTTCTAAAAGTCAAATTTGATCATACATATTTATGGAGTAATATATCTCATATGAACCTATATATGTTGTCAATATGTTTTCAAAACAATTACAAATGTTTAGCTGACATACAAGAACTGGACATCACACACACACACACACTTAGATCCACACTATTTAAGACTTAGATCCACACTATTTAAGAACTTGCATACCACACACTAACAAAGGCATCACACTACACACACTTAGATCGAGCAAGAAATATAGAGAAACAGAGAAGCTAGCTAGGCAGCAGCAATGGCGGGTCAAGCTAACACAATACAGGTTCCCACCGACGCTGAGCTGCTGCAAGCACAGGCCGACCTATGGCGCCACAGCTTCTCCTACCTCACGGCCATGGCGCTCCGCTGCGCCGCCAAGCTCGGCATCCCCACCGCCATCCACCGCCTCGGCGGCGAGGAGGCGGCAGCATCCTTGCCCGATCTCATGGCGGCCTTGTCCCTCCCGGCGAGCAAGCAACCGTTCGTCCGCCGCCTCATGCGGCTCCTCGTCGCCGTCGGCGTCTTCGCCGCCGACGGCGTCGCCGACGAGCGCTACCGCCTCACCCCGCTGTCCCGCATCCTCGTCGACGGCGTCGCCGCCGCCGACGACCACCACCACGACGTTCTCCAGACGCCCTTCGTCCTCACCGCGACGTCGCGGCAGTACGTCGAGGCGGCGCTGGGGGTGGACGAGTGGCTGCGGAAGGACGCGCCGCCGGCGCCGGCGCCGGTGCCGTCGCCGTTCGAGGACGCGCACGGCGCGCCGCTGTTCGACGAGGCCACCGCGGCGGCCATCGACCCGGAGTTCGCCGCGGCGGCGGACGACGCCCTGGCGGCGCACGACAGCCTCGGGATCGGCGCCGTGCTGAGGGAGTGCGGCGACCTCCTCCGCGGGGTGGCGTCGCTGACCGACTGCGCCGGCGGCGACGGCGCGACGGCGAGGGCCATCGCCGCGGCATTCCCGCACATCAAGTGCACGGTGCTGGACCTCCCGAAGGTGATCGACAAGGCGCCGGTGGATGATGGCGTGGTTAACTATGTTGCAGGTGACATGTTTCATGCTGTCCCACCTGCTCAAGCCGTGCTTCTCAAGGTATAAACATGGGAGTTAATTAATTATATAACTTGCCATTACCCAAATTTTACTACAAAACAAAGTTAATACTCCTTCTGTCCCTAAATATTTGACGCTGTTAACTTTTATAAACTTGTGTGCCAAATCGATGCAAAACCAGCACAACGTACTATAATGTAATTTGCGCATTATAGTTGAATCAAATGAAGCTCAAAATTAATTTTAAGCCAACAAGTGAAATTTAAATAGTCTCATTATTTAGTTGAATAAAAATGGGCCAACTTTTACCTGTAGGCTGATTCTTGCGCTTCTCTCCCCAAATATTATATTACACTATTAATTAATTTAAGTACACCCTTCCATAATTAACATTGTCCAACTATATTATCTATACTTTTAGCTTGTACTGCATTTTTGGAGCGATGACGACTGCGTGAAGATCCTGTCCCAGTGCAAGAAAGCCATCCCTTCACGAAAGGAGGGAGGGAAGGTGATCGTCATAGACATACTGATCGAGCCTTCGCTGGGGCCAGCGATGCTCGAAACCCAGCTGCTGATGGACATGGCCATGATGGTCAACACCAGAGGCCGACAGCGAGACGAAAGCGAGTGGCGAGACCTGTTCTTCAGAGCTGGATTCAGTGACTATAAGATCGCCAAGAAGCTCGGAGCTCGAGCTGTGTTCGAGGTCTATCCATGAGATTTCATGCTCGAGCTAGCTCCTGAAAAATGGTACTGTACGTTCTAGTACATATTATGGTTTGTGTTTGCATTATGTGCGTGCTGTATATGTGCATTAGTGCATATGAAGGTAAATAAATGGAGTGCTCTGAAGGGAACAAATTAAAAGAGGTTTCAGTGAACGTAAAGCACAGGAGGTGTTTGGCTTTGGGTACTTCATGGTTTGTGTAAGTACTCCTATTTACACATACAATTATTGTATACCAACAAGGACATGTTATGTACATGTGCAGTGTGCTTGTACGTGGATATATTGTGTAAAACCACTGTATATATGTTATATGTGTGCTTCGCAATTAAGCTCAGTCATGATATATGGAGAGAAGAGAACTTGTGATTTCTTATGCATCACTGATCTTATTCAACTTATTATGGCTAGCTATATGGAGTAGTTGGTACTAACCGCCATACCTTGGCCCTTGCTAGTTCACGGACGCGGTATATAAAAATATTCTGCATTTTCAGTTTCACCAATAAGAGGCACGGAAAAAAAAATCTCCAATCCAATGTTTTCAAATTGTTAAAAAGTTCATGTCATAATCTTGTCAAATTAAACTAAACACCCACAGAATATAAAAAAGGCCCACCCCACTTAACCCAATCAAATCAGCCCATTTTCCGTTTCAGGGTTCGGGACATCAAGCCTGTCCACACATTAAATCCAGCCCACATTATTGCAAGAGCCCATTTGTCACGCCTATATATTGCCCGATTCGGCCCATCCATCCGTCGGCCCATCAGCTGTGGCAATCATGGAGGACGCCCACCTGCTTCTCTCCCCCAAGGCGGTTGCCGCCTCGCCGCCGTCGCCGGCCGGCGGCGGCGCGGCGGCGAAGGGTCTGGAGCGGCGGGATCGCGAACGCCGGGGCCGGTGGATGGATCGACACGGTTAGTTCCCGACTGCTCCCGCTCTTCTGTACCCTTGTGCTTAATGCTCGAGATGCCAATCTTGGACTGATGAATAAATGAATAATTTCCCCCACAAAATAATTTAGAGGTAGGGTTTTAAATGTTTTTTCAGTGTCAGGTTTTGGGGGGTTTGTTTTTTTTCCTGTGATTTTGGTGTGGTCTTGTCATGCTCTTGTGGTAGGGTTCTGATTGTGTAATGTATAATGCTGTCGATTCTAATTCTGTAGGTTGTGGTGTGCAGTAACGCATGATTTGTTCCTCTTTTCTTTTCTTTTTTTGGATATAGTCCATGATTGGTAACTGATGGGTTCAAATTGGTTCCTGGATTGCAGGATTTGCGTAATTGTAGGTGTCGCAGAACCAGATTTCAAGCAATTAAAGCTTGGCTGAGCTCATGGTATTAACCTTTCTGAAATGCTCAAGTTTTTACCTTTGCTGTCCAATAATAATTGAGTGGCCAATATACTAGATGCATCACATTTTTGGTTCATTTTTGTTATGGTATATATTTTTCTCTCTGCATACAAACAGTGTGTATCTGATGATTATGGAACATACAAAGCTGAAATCCATCACCACCATGCACCATCTTTCCGAATGTGAAAAGAGTATTGATCAACACACCTCCACACTAAGTGCTATTTTCCGATACATAATGATCCTCAAAGTTATCTCATGGTTCATCAGTTCGCAGGGTTTTGATTGACAAAAAGGAAGTGTTTTAGTGGTTTGGTCACATGATGTGCTGTCACTGCATGAACCAACGGCCCTGCTGGTTGATGGTAGAGTTTGTTCTGATCATCTTGTTGTTCTGCCTAATCATGATCTTCACTATGGAGACATGTGAGGGCCTACCAAATTAACCTACCATCTAAACATGATTTTCCAGCATATTTCCCTAAATCTATATGCTCCATAATTGTAGCTACTAACAAGCATTTTTAAACGAAATATCAGGCTTAATTGCTTTCTGTTGCAACCTCAGTTTGTTTACTAGTTTTCTTCCGAAGGAAGTTTATTTACTTCATGAGTTTCTGAAAAAGGATAGCCGCTGAATAGTTATGATCTGTTACCACAATTCCTGCTCTAAAGGAATACTATATAATTAAAGACAAGTAGCAGTTTACCAAGGTTCAGCAGACAACAAAGAAAAAATAGTACGAATAGAGAACAAATCAAACTACACGAAACCAACATGGGATGATTTTCAGAACTATTGTGGAAGAAAATGTGATTCAGTCAAGATTGGATGAATTACACCAAATGCCGTGGAAACTTCGGTAGAGTTTGATGATTAAGACCCCTATCAAGTATGCTTTTACTGGTTGCCACTTATTTGCTTTGGATCTATATTACATTTCAATCAAATAATGCAAGTATCCTCCTTGGCAATACTAGTGTGAGTAAATCGATACGTTGTTTCAACCACACGTTTGTACCAAAGTTTACCTTTATGGGCACTTGGGTGCAGCTCAGTAGGAATTCTGTGAGCTTCACAGATTTTCCCTTGGCCTCAGTCTGTTTCGACATGTGCTAGGGGGCATACCCACAGGTGTGTTGACAACTAGGTTTCAAATTCTGTTGTTCACTTCAACGCATAAGTGCACATCAAGGATTTATCCCTGGCATTGACATATTTAGGTATGCATGCGAAGGAAGCCACACATAAAGCCATTAGGGATGGTTCAATAACACAATTATAGACAGTTATCAGAGTCTGCTCAAGTCTGATTAAGTTATGGCAATCTTTTTTGTCCAAACAATAGCAAATTCTATCGAATTTTGGGCTTCGAAAAGTAGCATGGACGAGGAAGCATGGAGAAGTACATAATGGAGGTCATCGGGATGCATTTGTCGCCCTGGCCACCGAGTTGTGCGCACCACCTATGGCTACAAGACGGGCGCAAAGTGACAAGAGAGAGAAGAGAAGGAGGGAAGAAGAGGAGGAATCAGCGGAGGAAACGAAGAAGAGGAGCCCTGTGCTGGCAGTTTAAAAGGTAATTTTCACTTGAAGAGTAGGATACTCAACTTTATTTGAGTGATAATGTTGAAATATCATTAAAAATGGATCTGAATAGAACTCCTCACATATACTGCATTAGTGGTGGTTCAGAAAAATCCACCTGCAACAGTCTACTAATCATAGACGGTTTAAGAAACCATAGATATCAGATATGGTTGGCAAACAGCACAATCTTGGGAGTATCTAAGACAGTCATTTAAAAAAGGAGTAAATTTCATAAAACCCCACCTATTTGGTCCAAGTCGAACAAAACAACAGGAATTTTGGTATGTGACACATAATCCCAGGTATTATGATCCTAAAGTTTCACGAAACCACATTGTTAACTAATTTTTCAATACTCTTGTATCAAAATTTTAAAAGGCTATACTTACATGAATGCAACAAATATATGATGGATAAAGAAATCATAAAATTGAGATGTGATTGTAGAACTCAGAAGTATGGTAGATCAAAGTCAAAATGAATAATAGTGTGGTTTTTGTGAAACTTTATAACCATAATATTTGGTGTTATGTGCCACGTGCCAAAACCCCTATGGTTTTATGCAACTTAGACCATAATACCCGTAGTTAGGTGAAATTTACTCTTAAAAAGAACAGTTTCTAATAGCATAGTTAGGAAAGGCGGTTTTGGATAGGGCTTTGAAATGGGGACTTGTCTATGATATTCTTATGGCAGATAGCTTGTTCTGAACCATCTCTGATAGCCGGTACAGAATAGGCTTCTTAGTAGTAGTGCTTCCTCGTAATCATAAGAAAAGTTACCTCTATTGGAATTTTTTGTAAGTGAAAAACAGAGATCTATATGTTATCTACTTCCTCCATTTCACAATGTAAGACTTTCTAGCATTATCCATATTCATATATATGTTAATGAATCTAGGCATATATATGTGTCTAGATTCATTAACATCTATATAGATGTGGGCAATGCTAGAAAGTCTTACATTATGAAACGGAGGGAGTAGTTGTTAATGACCAAAATTGTGTTTTTCTACGTCGACACTAGTAAAGCTAAATCGTTTCTAACCTGAAAAAGAAATTTTCCTTTCTATACATGACATTTGTGTACATTTCACCAAAGTTATGTAAAGGTATAACAAACAGTTCTATACTTGAGATTGGATATTCCCACACACAAATTTGTCCATAATAATAAAAAACTGATCTGATGCCTCCCAAAAGATGAATGAATTAAAGGCATGAAATGAAAAAAAAAACTACGATTGCTACACTTTTGGGGTGCCCATAGACCAAAGGATGACCTCTGTTAGTGACCTAAGCAATATATTGTTACCACAAGTGCTCATGGTCGGCAACAATTTATTGTGTTTCCCAACAACTTTCTCTTCTCCCTTTTAAGTTTTCTTCAATTTTCTTGCTGGCTGAGTGGAGATGATTGTACCTCCTAGTAGACTTTGATGTCCTAGTGACATGAAAAATTGTACAAAGGGAAAAAAAGTGAATTTGTTTCGTAGAGGAAAAAAAAAAACCCCTCAAACAGTGGTTGACTTCAAGAGCCATGCAATGATGCCAGTTAGCACACAATAGGCAAAAGGGTAGAGCGCCACAAATTGGGTTCATCTTTATCCTATTGTTGCACAAGAGACAAGAAATGCATCTCTTTAAGCCTAACACACTTAACGGAAATGTTTATAAATTGAAGCTGCTCTTTTGTTTCTCTTTTTGCTGATTATTACAGGCATATAAGGTGTAGGTGCATATATCTGGTCTTGTGTGCATGGATACATGACGATGCAGTGGTCAACTAGTTGGATAGAACATGTCAAGCCTAGCATATCAACGAACTTATATATTTAATAATTAGAATAGTAGAGCAAAAAAAAAATCAAACTTCCTCCATATGTTTACATAAATTCTATGATAACAATGCACGGTAATCTCTATAGCACATAACCATGGAATCTGCAGTATTTCAACTTGCATATATGTGCAGCATGATACCATTTAACATCTTATTCAATACAATGTAATGCTTTTTTTATATCATAGCTTTATTTTCCAGTGTAGTTGTGTCTGATGTCATTTATATACTGAGAAATCAGCTTATTACTAATTGCATGTGAACGATATATCAGAATGTGTGTACTAGTAGTATGTGCTTCTTCAATTTCCACAGAATTTATCATATTCCTATATTCCACCCAATTGGAATGAGGTGGTGGAAGTGGAGGTGTGGTACAAGTGGATGAAGGCAGGATTATTTTACAAAGTATTATATCGCTACCAACACAATGAATTATTTTTTTATGGATTGTTTAAAATATTAAACATGTGAGATCCATCTTAGCAGCTTTAGAATGATCTAGGCATCAAAGATGGAAGGTTTGCTTATTTGAGTTAGAGAAGTCTTTAACTTGGTGAGAACACCATAATTATCTGTGTTGAGTGTCTATAATATTTGCAACAACTGCGAAAACTGGAAACAAGTTTGTATAGATGGAAGTGTTTACCGAAATTTTAATATATCAGTGTATAACAAAATATAGTACCAATCCTAGAAGACATCATAATAGCAAGAATTTGAATATGTTGATCATGTTTATGGTTATAATTATCAGCTTGGTTAATCACTTGTCCTAGTGAATTTCTGCTATCATGATCATAGAACTGGCTGTTCCCAAACAACAATTGCTTTAATTTTTCGCATTAATTAGAATTAAAGAAAAGGGAATAATCTAGTAAGTGGTGCTAATTATGTACCCTACTGAATGTTTTTTCTTTCTATTATTTCCTGATTAATCGCTGATTGCTTGATTTATCTTATCATGATAGCATTTATTGTCTTCTCAAACTGTTTTCAGTATGCTCATTTGTCCGTTCACGCCTCATTGACAGTACAGGCTGCAAGCACAAATTTGCATCTAGGGAGGAAAAAGGCAAACTAGGGCAAGCACAAGTTATATCTTAAGCTTGTAGTTAAGAGTAGTAACAAGACAAGGTGATGGAACTTAACATTAACGTGCTGATAGTGGGTTTGGTCTTGAGAATATTCTGAGTTGTGATTATGTCTTGGGACTAAACTTCTCGAGTGCTCGCTTTGTATCTTTTGGACATAACTGTGCAGTTTTGCTGTTTTTTTTCTTCTGCATAGATAACCTAAACTAGCACGGATCATAGCAGGCAATAATTTTGTTCATCAGCATCTATAGGTACTTTTAGGCGCTTCCTGGCTTAGCAGAGTGTTCCAGTTTCCACTCATATTAAAAAGTCAACAATGAACGGCATACATTGGTCTATACTGAACGCCAGAATATGTCAATTTATTATACTAATTGTTTGTGTAAAATAATACTTATACCCTTCTTTTTATAGTATGGTGCTTCAATTAATCAGAAAGTTAAGATTGCTTGATAAACTAACTGAATCAAATTGTAGCAACTCACAGTAATTTCGTAGTTCACTTGCTGAAGAATGTGGATATAAACTATATATATTTCACATGTTTGGGCAACATAGTGTTTTCTATTAGTAATTACAAGATGGGCCCAGGCCTTACATATCTTTTTCACATGCGATGGTATTTCAATTTGCATTACTTTATGTGACACTTCCTAATTTTCCCTATGATATATGCATTTAGTTTATTCAAGTATTTCATTATTAAAACATAGAGGTAGTTAGCTATGTTTACAGTGGAATTTGACATCCTTTTTACTGTTAACACCACCTTTGATGATAGAATTGGTGATACTTTAATTTGCCACTTACTAAAATTGATGAGTGGGTGATCTAATATATTTTTTGTTAGAACATTCAACGGTATTAAGTATATAGCAAATCCTTGTGTCCACTATGTAGTTTGTTTGCTGAGCAATGTACTATCTTACCTTTCCCTAGTTTTCACATATTTCGCTGTCATTGAAAAGGTTGCATTATATTGATGTGTTCATTACCATGGAAATTATGTTACAGATCACAGAAATATTGACTAAACATCCTGAATGCAAAGTATGCTCACTTCTTTTTAGCTAGTTTATGGCCTTTCTTTTGAAATTTGAGTTTGAGTTTTTCTTTTTTAAAAAGGATGTGTTTAAGGAAGTATCCTGAAAAATTAGGACACAGATAAAATTGGTAAATATAGGCATAAATAAGAAATAAGAATAGTCTAAAATATATCATTGTTAAACAAAGCATTTAGAAATATTCGACTAACAATTGTATCATAAAAATGGGAACATATAACAAGAAAATTGAGTTGTTCTAGAGTTAACCAATAGCTAGCGCCCAGCGCATAAATCTATCTTTTTTGTGGACTAATCTATTCGTATTAATTGATTAATTATTGAGATCGTGATAGTACATAATTACAGGATCTAGTATAATTTGGTATTTCTCGAGAATGTGGTTTTGGCATACAAATAATTACCATTTTCTTATATTCAATTAAGCACTTTAATCTGTTACTTTTCACATTAATGCTAATTGGGAGTAATATCAATCTACTGCTTGTTTTATCTATGCAGAAGTAAGCTGACTACACTAGAAAGGAAAGGTGGAAGTATGGACCCAGGTTACACAAGGTAATTGTAGTGTGAGTGTGTCCACCCAACCAGACTACTTTTCCATTACATTCAGACTTATCCGCAAGCTTAACCCTAATTGATATTACATACTACAGAATATGTTTGTCATGGCATGTGCCGAGATATATCTCATAACTCAGGAAGCACTAGAAGATGCAGGATAGTAAGAAGGAAACTGGTACAAATTTAAGAGAATCTATTCTATACCACTGAGTTTGTTCGAGTTCAACAATTAGCCATCGACATTGTCTTTTTCCATAATATACCGACGACTTTATCAAATGTTCTACAATACGCCATTGGGTTGGCTTTCTTTTCAAAAACACCCTTACGAATATACAAGGTTAACAATTGATTTATCTCATTAGAAGTTTCAAAAATATGAAAACTTTTATGTGGCCTCCTTACACAACATGGAAATTTGTATAGAAGTATCAAGTTTTTTACATTTCTATTTTTTTTTTTAAAAAATATATAACTTATCCACTATATGCTATATAAAATACTTTTTCATTTTTGTTTTTAATATAAATCATCTTTCATATACTATATAAGATATTTTTGTGCTATTATCTCTTGTATAAGCAAATTTTCTCTCATATACCACATAAAAATATTTTTTTTCTAAAAACTAAATATACTAGAAAAACCTTGAAACTTGTATACAAACTTTCATGTTGTGTAAGGAGGCCACATAAAAATTTTCATATTTTTTTGAAACTTCTAATGAGATAAATCATTAATCTTGTATGCCTCTAAGGGTATTTTGGGTATTTTTGAAAAGAAGACCCAATCCAATGGTATATCGTAGAACAATTGATAAAGTCGTCGGTATATTATAGAAAGAGGCAATATTGATGGTAAATCGTTGAACTCGAATAAACTAAGGGGTAAGGAATAGATTCTCTCCAAATTTAATTAAGATGAGATAGGCACATAAATTTGAGCTGAATTGTACTCGAACTTAGGCTTCATTTGATCCACTCCTTTGGAGTGAGATTTGTAGCGCACGCAAAATGAGAAACCTCATTAGCATATGATTAATTAAGTATTAACTATTATAAACTTGAAAAATAGATTTATTTAACTTTTTTTAACAACTTCTATATAGAAACTTTTTTTTTTTGTAAAAAACACACCATTGAATAATTTGAAAAGCATGCTAACGGAAAATGAGGAAGTTGAAGTTTGGAGTTAGAGAAAAGAACGGAGCCTTAGGCAGTGAAGGGTTACACCACATCCACCAACTAGACCTAGGTTCAGTTTCTTCTCTTGTGAAATTCTCAAGGGAACGGTTTAGTTATTTTTTTTTTCACTTCTTGTCATTTTTAGATTTAAGGTATGCTTATATAATTAGTAATTCACATACCACTTTGTGCTACCACTATATGCCTCCTAATGCACAACTAGAACTGAAGAGGACAGTTATAAATTTGTGACCCTCTCTAACCTTGTGTATTCTATGCACTTTACAACAAAGTTGCACTTGCATGTGGTAGCCTTCAAGGTCAAACCAGAAAAATGAACAATATATATGAATGCGGTTGGTTTAAGCAACTCTTACCTCCATGAAGATGTGGTTATTATTCTTAAGTCGATAAATTCACATTTTGAAACCTATCATGGGGTCATAATTCGGGACATTTAACTTTTTGCTACTTTTAAGATGTGGCAATTAATTATTTGTCATTCGCTGTTTATGACATGTGGGTCCTCATGTGTCTATGACATGTGGTTCCAGTGGCAAATCCTTTATCACCATCCGTAAGAGTGGCAAATAATTAATTATTCCTCATAATTCACAACTCTATAAATAACTAACCAATATGAGGTAATTCTCAAATTAATATATTCATATTTTACAACAAATTTCAACCCTATGAATGAGTAGTGCTACCAAGCTCTTCCAACCCAGTAAGGCACGGGTTTCTCGAGTCAATAGCATGGTCTGCTTAAGCCAACAGTTCCAAATTATTCCACTAGTCCACTGTCTAATGAAAAGCGTGCACTACTGCACCATGCACAAACAGCTACATTACATTCCCTAGGAAAATAATTGCTACAGTACATTACATGTTCATATGTAAAGCGTGCACCATGTACAGTGTTTACTGTTTAAGTTGGACTATGAGCCCATCATCGACTTATTGTATGCTGATGGAAAACTAACATCATCAATCAGTCGAGACCGTGTTATTTGTGCAACTCCTTACTATCACTACTACTATGTGACATTTATAGGGGCAAAGCTAGAAAGATTTAACAGAGAAGACCAGGCAATCAGAGCCAAGTTATTACTACAAAGGTGAGTAGAATCATTCCAGGTACATGCTGAATTAAGCATATTAACAGCTGTTCCTTAATACCTAACATTACTTGAATCCTCACTTGTTTACAGTATGGAACAAACACACAGTTTACTGATTAAAATTGAAAAAATGATCAATTTAATTGAATTTATTGCTGGTCCCCCTCAAGTATATATTTAATCTACACTCAGGTTGAGCAAATTGTCCCTTTAATTTGTACTTATAGCCCGTCATCCTAATCAGTGTTGCAATGCAGAACGTATCCACTATCTTGGTTGACCAAATTGGGAGGCACTATGCACATACATTTTAATAAGTCAAAATCTGACTAGATGGAAAGTTGTTCATGGTCTACTTTCCACTTGGCAGCCTTATCTCACATCCACCCTTACTTTATCTGCATGCTAAAAGATAATATCGAATTAATCAACAGACCGGAACATCGGTTTGTTTCTCTCTGATCACATTTATAGTTCTACAAAGAGGCTGAATATGAAAACCACCCCCTGATTTCCTACTTGTACTTATGCGGTTTTCTAGATTGAAAAGAATTAGTTTTGGAAATATATGAATATTTTAGTCATGCAAACATGTGTTAAAGAGAAGAATGTATAACACTACTAGCTAGAAAAAAAAAGTTATGGTGTGGCAAGCATTTGACCATGCCACCTGTGTATATTTTTTTTTAGAAAAGGGATTTAAAATTGATTTGGAACATTAACTATGGGATCTATCTAAAATAATCTTCCATAGCAAGAGCATTTGAAATATAACCTTGAAATCTCACTTCCCTGTTTGGCTTACTCCATCCTGATATTGTGCTGACTTTGGACTGCATATGCATGGCACTTTGCTACTCCCTCCATTTTCAAATTATTTGCCATTTTAGCTTTGTACTAAGTCAAACATTTCTAACTTTCACCATCAATTTCTACAACTTTATACAGTTTAACATTATAAGATTTATGTTTTATATTCACCATGACAAATACTTTCATCATTTATATATAGTTCACATGTTAAACTATACAAGCATCTAGAAATTGATGGTCAAAGTTAGGAAATATTTGAATTAGGATAAAACTAAAACGACAAGTAATTTGAAACGGAGGGAGTACTAAATAGTGATGCCTTGTTCGTAATAAGGCCCTTATGCCAATCTTAAGTCTGATGAGGATGGGTGGAGTGGCTGCGCGAGCCAGCTACCACACTTTTTGGATGAAGAGGTCCTAGCAATGTGCCATTGCCTCCCATCCATTCACCAGTTAATCCTTGCTTTGATCTCCATCAAGGCCTTGAGATGGAATAATTGATGGAGGGAGTAGCTAGTAGATTCAACAAGTACAAGTGATAGACGACGCTTGAAGAAGGGTGGGGGGGGTGGCATCATCATCTGGTTGTAGATGGGTCAAAACCACTAGTTAGGGAAGTGAATCTATGATGGCTAAACTATATGGTAGCAAATCCCACCAGCACATCATTCCCTATCATGGCTCATGATCATGAGGCCACACATCTAAGAGCATATTGTGGGACTGAGAGAGATGATGATGAGGGCTTAGATTGAGGGATGTCTGATGTTGTTGGCGATGGGGATGGAGTTAGTGGCAAGTCAAGCCTGGGGCAAGCTTGAGAGACCTTGAGTTAGTACCTTCAGCATTTCGTTTTCTTTCACTAATGTGGACTACAATACTCCCATGTGGCAATAGAAAAAAAAATGCTATATTGAATCTAGTTGCTCAGGGACTAGTTTTAATGGCTGGGTTGTTTTTTTTTCTTAGACCATCTTAGAGCTGTATGTTGAGACATAGAAGCTAGTCTTAGTGTTCTTTTTTCTCATTGTTTTTGGGTTATAAAGTGATTTTCCCATTCTTTATCAAGCCTAGGTATAAGTGGCACAAGCATCACTCTTATGGCATCAATATTAATTGCATGATTGTACAAGGGAAAACAAACATTTATTTATTGAAAATCAGACACATGCCAAGATCACAGTAAATCCAAGATCTGCCATTATAAAGTCTAGGCTTGGAGATATGCAATTGTGAAGCAAATTGAGCCATTGGCCCTTTTCTTCCCTCCCCTTCCCCACATCTCCAAACCCTTGCCACAGAGTATGAGCGACCGGTGAGAGACATTGCAGAGGTGAGACCATTGTTGTTGTGATCAATATGCAAGATGTTGCAATGGAGACATGAATTGTAGCTAAACAGTGTTTGAATCTAGCATGCAATGCAATGATGAAGAATTAAGCCAATGCCATTGGAAGGAGAATGGGAGGCATGGAAGTATGGAACTGACAGTAGAAAGGAGGGGGCAACCAATAAGACTATGAAGAGTGGGGGTGAAGACTTTTAGTGTGGCATATTTCTGAAGTGCAAACTTACAGTGACATATATCTAATCTTTCCTTTATTAATAGATGGAATTATATATTACATGGGTTGTCCTTAAACTCAAACTTATGGCTTAATCGTCTTAGCTAAAAAATCATGCTTGACCAGGGAGTGAAAACACCATATATATGCTCCCAATTAGATGATCCATGGACCATGGTGCATAGGGTTGTTGTAGTGGATGAGTTTGGTGGTCTTTTCTACTCTCTTTTGGGTGTCCCCACCATGTCCCCAGTTTTCACCTTCCTACACTGTCGACGAGTTGAATTCTATCCATCTATGGTGGAAAAATCAGTCATAAAAGTTTTACTGCCACTCGACACGCAAAGCAGTCAAAACAACGATGGTGGTAAACAAAGGTAAAACATGAAAAAAAAAAAGAACCAGAGAGATCATCGCGATCGACAACCAACCAACTAGCTAGCCCATCTTGCCATAGAAAAAGATAAATTTTAAAGTACTGAAGAAAGTATCTCAATGTACCTAAATTTTATAGTAAACTTTTTTTTCCTCGAGGTATTTAGTATCTGAAGGTACCAAATATTGCATTTGAGAATGTGATACCTCTAGGTGTCTTTTCAACGATGTTAAAATTACTCATAGAAAAAGAGAAATTTTTACAGTACTTGAGAAAATACCTCGAGGTACCTAAATTTTCCCACCCAGCCAGCCCTAGTGGTGATAAGTAAAACCAAAGCAATGGCATTCTAGTGGAGAGTTAGTGGTGGATGGAGCATGTGTGTGCTCATGGCTTCCCTTCTCATTGGTAGGAACTAAGCAGAGGAGACAAAGCATGAGGTGATTGCACTAGCTGACTAGCACTATATCCACAAAGTCACATAGACTGGTAGATATATATGTAGCTAAGGTTATAGCTACTCTCCAAAAAAAAACACTTCCTAAAATACAGGGCAACCAGACCCACTTCCAGTAGGTGCTATTTTTGGCCACACCATGCATGATCACAAGCTATATCTTCCTCATGAAAGCAGCCAGTGTGCGTGCATGCGTGCACTCGTGTGTACGTGGAAAAGATTGTGCTATGTTATATATCATGCTACCTTTAGACTTTACACAAAATATGTTTTTTTAACCCAAAAGATGGAGCGTTGTCGATCCAATATTGAAGAAGAGGAGAATGCAGAGACGCCATCTTCAGATGTGATATATGAAATGTTGCGGAAAATAGAGTTTCTATACTAAAATAATTTAGGAGTTGGAGCTCAACCAACTCCTGACCTAAATTTAGGAGTTGAAGCTTTACCAAACATGTCCTATATTTTTGACATTACTCTGACTTATGAAATGTTGCGGAAAATAGAGTTTCTCTACTAAAATAATTTGGTTTAATCGTCTAATTTTAGTCTAAAATGTGAATGGGATGTTTGACCTTAATAATGCTACTCTACTCCAGCTCCAATTCAAGGTTTTTTAACTAATGGATATCAAACTCCAAAAAAGTCTTTAAGAGTTGGATCTGTACCAAAATTAATGGTCCCTATGATGCACCAACATTAGCACTTTAATTTAGGCGATATACGAATGGATAATTAAGACCTTGTGACTTGTCACTCCATCGTCTTTGTGTGCGTGTTCAACATGGTTGTTGAGGTGGAGAATTTGTGTGTGTCTACAGCTCTAAAAGGAGTCATTTGTGTGCATTTGTTACTGGCTGCGTCTTCTAACGTGTATGCCTGTGGTCCTCTTCTTGTGTGATGGCTTTCAAGCACAAGACATTAAACTAGTTTTGACCCATGCATTATATCTTTCATCACAAATGCCCCATCAATTGCTTGATTAATTATAACTTGTTGCAATATTCAAGTGATGGTCACAGGGAACATGCACAATATGCAATATATTATCTGTTTTTACAAAAGGAAATTAACTGCATAGATCCTAATTAATTTAGTTGTCACTCCATAAAGAAGTGTTTGGTTGTTTTGGATTTGTACAAACTTTTTTTTGGTAGTAAACACAAGACAACTAATTTTATCAAAGAATGCCACAGTAGTGGACACCACACTGCACTCAGTCAGGGCTCGAAGAACTTGCCCCTGGTTATGCTTGGTAGGAAGGCAAAGAGAAAGCAAACTTTATGCACATCAAGTTTTCTAGTCTCTTGCATAATCATAATTGTCTAAAGGCTTCTTGCTTTTTTAGACAAAATTAGACAGCGTGTTCCTTGGCAAATGCACTATATGCAAATGCATGCAAAGCTAGGCTTGTGATTCATCATTGAAGTTGACTTGCATGAGATTGGAGGACAGATCATCATTCATTTGTTCTTAGCAGGCAAAGAAAGCTATGTGTGCAAATGGAAAAATTAATGTAGGTTATATTAGGGCAAGTTCACAGAATGGAAATGGCTAGCTGAGTTCACTACAGGATATTATAATGGAACCAATCATTCTTCATCCCTCACTCGAATAGTTAGATTTGATGTGTAGTTGATCGAGTAATATATATCACAATGCAAGGTCATTCAACATTGACCGATGGAGAGAGAACTCCCTAAATGGTTATGTATGTATCATTCTCATGAGAGTCCGGAACAATTGCAAGATACAATGTCAAACCACTTATAATTCTTTAACTATGGATATTGTGGATAAATATTTTGCACCGACAAGTGGCTACTACATTAATATTGTTTTCACCCACAATGGTGAATGCTGATCATGTCATCCACATGGATCCAAATGCAGGCTGCCAGTTGCTATGGGGTGTCCAAATCAAGATCCAATGTTTGGATCCTGATCAATCTGGAGATAACATGCATCATCACATAATCGTCAAAGTAACCAGCAAAAAGAGCACACAACGTGCAACTAGTTAAGCAAATGTGTGTTTGTGAGTCATGACAATGTAATATAAATCATTACTTTGCAAATGTATATCATCATACCTAAGATTGGCTATGCAATATGTCGATTTCAACAGATCTAGGGAACTTCACAAATTAGTGTCGTCATTAGTTCTCTACAGAGTACCATAAATATATATGTATCAAAATCTGTTTGCATATACACTATCACATGTTCATTTCTTATAGAATTTCAGGCATAAATTTAAGAACACACTCTCCAAAAGAACTTGAACAATCACACAGCAACTAAATCAATCATTAAGCTTATTTTGACCTGATCATTAATTCTGATGTTAACTACTTTCAGTATATACCTCAGGATTGCTTAATTGTGAGAAATTACAAAAGGCACTAAGTAGTAGACCAGTAAGCATTGACCATAAACAGAAACCATTCAAGCACTGCCTCTGGTCAACATCATGATTGATATCAAATCTTCGCATTCTCCAAACAATGAGCATAACCAGAGATCTTGTGTACTTCCGACAGCAACATTACCCCAATTTAGTACATTCCGAGTATCATATCCTGTTTTGTCGAGAATAATTAAGCATTCGACCGTATCTTCGAGATAAAATTAAACAACTGCGATTAACAAGTGATGCTGTGGTACCAAGCTAAGGTATAGCCCAATCTTTGTGCCCCCCAAGCCTTGCAACAACTTGCATCAGCAGCACATATGCCATTAGATTAACCACTATTTAAGGAGAATACTTTGTTTTATGTGTGTGTTGTGTGTCCAGCATCAGTGGGAAAGCTGCATGATTGGCTTTGCTAGATAGGAATAGATTTTAATTAGAGGTGTTGCCCACTTCCCATTGGAAAGTTGTGTCTATGGTCAGTGTTGGTTTCAGGCCCATGCATTGCCTTCCTGACAATGCACCCCCACATTGCACTCCTCAAAGCAGAACAAAGCCCTGACCCTTTAACAGGGACCTGCACTGGACAGCAACTGTTCACCACAGCCAATTCCATGCCTTCTTCACCACAGATAAAATCCACAAGCAAAAGTGGCAGTGTGGCACCACATCCCACAAACCACAACTTGTAAATTTTGATAAGCATTGCTTCTGTAAAAAATAATCTTATTTTTGTTTCGCCGTATGTTGGATTCGGAACGAATTCCACTAGTAGTATTAGTGATTTTAGTCTAGACAGTACCATTGTTTAGAGGAACTTGTATGTCTTGTAGTTTGGTTCAGCCTGAATACAAGTAACAGCAACATATACTTAGTGATTCATACTTGCAAGTTACAGCTGCAACCTCTGCAAGTACTGCATGATTATACTTGAGAACTGTCAAAACTAGAATCCTATCTACCTCACGTTTTCTCCAGCTGTCCAGATCAAAGTTCTAAAAGTTATAATGAAAAAAGAAAGAAAGGAGCAAGATGCTCTCTCATCTCATCTCATCGGAGATGACGTTTGGCATATCCCCTTCAGGTTGCAGAGACGCAAACTCTCAACACCCAAAACAGTAAAACACCTCATTCATATCAGTGAAAAATGTCATCTCAGTTCAGATTCCAAAATGAGGAGGTTTATTCCAATGAAACAAAAAAAAAAACTCATAATCGACTAATGCGTTTCAGTCTATTTGTCGGCGATTTTTCGCGCTTGCATGTTTAAGCACTAGGCCATGATAATTGGCTCCCCACCCCGGGGCCCTTATAAATAACTGACCATGTTGCCTGAATTTTACCAAGGCCAGCACACACATCACACTACCACTGATGATAGTGTGCTCTTGGTGAGGCCTCCAAGAAGTTGCCTGACCACACAAGCACAAAGCAAGCACTATCACCAAAAGGATCAGAGAAGAAACTGATATCACTATCTGATCAGTGTAGCATTGCAGCCTCTCTTCTTGGTAGGAGTGAGCTAGCACAGTGAAGAGCTAATTAAGCCATTTGTGTGAGCTTGCGTTGAGTGAGCTCTGAGCTAATATGGATGTTGAGTCAAGGCAAGGCCCCAAGGGTGGTGACACCATGGCTGCCTCCGAGGTCTCCGTGGACTGGAGGGGCAGGCCTTGCGGCTCTCGCAAGCATGGCGGCATGAAAGCGGCCGTCTTTGTGCTAGGTTCGTTTAATTAGTTAGTTACTCTCTTAATCCATTATTTCTTGGGTAGAAATATGTTGCTTGATCTGATTTGTTCTTGTTTGTGTTTGTGTTTTGTTGGATATCGTTTGCATTGATGATGATTGCAGGGATCCAGGCGTTCGAGATGATGGCGATCGCGGCGGTGGGGAACAACCTGATCACCTACGTCTTCAACGAGATGCACTACCCGCTGTCAAAGTCGGCCAACATCGTGACCAACTTCATTGGCACCGTCTTCCTCCTCTCCCTCCTCGGTGGCTTCCTCTCCGACTCCTACCTCGGAAGCTTCTGGACCATGCTCATCTTCGGCTTCGTCGAGCTCTCCGTAAGAAATTGATTCATCCATCCTTCATCGTCGATCTCTTCTCTTTGATATCGCACTACGATAAAATTGACATTCTTTACACCTAGATGCAACTTTTTGGGTCCTTTTTTAGACTGCATTTCTTGGCTCCTTGCAAGCAAGAACAGCTGAACAGGATCGGATCTTGTTTGTTTGTTTGTTTAATCATGTAGGGATGTTGTTTCTAGGTAGGATTATATATAAAATTAACCAGATAAGACACGCGAAAGATTCAGCGACTGTTCATCGTGCCGCGAAAATGATGAGGTTTTGAGGAGGAGGCAGCAAGTTCAGCGTAAAGGTGAGAGAGAGAGTGGAAGAAAATCATGGCTGCCTCCATCCAATGCGGCCATGCTAGCTAGTGCGCCGCCCAAAACGCCACTCGACTCCACAATATCATTTCTTGGCTTTTGATTTTAATTTTCGAGCAGGTTCATTGCATCCCATCCCATGACCATATCCATGGCGATAATTAACCATTACTGATTAATGCGCCGCCAACTTTAGTTAGTTTAGCTAATAATTTTTGTTGTTTTTTTATTTCTAATTTTTCTTGGCAGGGGTTCATACTGCTGGCCGTGCAGGCGCACCTGCCGCAGCTGCGGCCGCCGGCGTGCGACATGATGGCGGCGGCGGCGGCGGAGGGGGGATGCGAGGAGGCGAGCGGGGTGAAGGCGGGGATCTTCTTCGCGGCGCTGTACCTGGTGGCGCTGGGGAGCGGGTGCCTCAAGCCCAACATCATCGCGCACGGCGCCGACCAGTTCCGGCGCGGCGGCGGCGGCGGCGGCGACGGCGATGGCGACGATGGCGGCGACGGGAAGCGGCTGTCGAGCTACTTCAACGCGGCCTACTTCAGCTTCTGCGTGGGGGAGCTGGTGGCGCTGACGGTGCTGGTGTGGGTGCAGACGAGGTCGGGGATGGACGTGGGGTTCGGGGTGTCGGCGGCCGCCATGGCCGTGGGGCTGGTCAGCCTCGTCGCCGGCGTCTTCTTCTACCGGAACAAGCCGCCGCAGGGCAGCATCTTCATGCCCATCGCCAAGGTACGTACGTTATGCCGTACAATACAATCGTCGTACGTGTACGGTTCGTCATGTACTTTTATACGCTTTCTTCTTTTTTTTTTTTAGAGAAAAATATTTCTTACCCGGCCTCTACATCCAATCAGATATATGCAGACTTTTTAAATTAGAAACTTAACTCTCAAACAATCTAATCTGAAACTTGCTACTACGATTAAACTCTAGATCTTTAGGATACGCTTAGGACATTGCAACCACAATTGCATCTTCTTTTCTTTTCTAGTTGGCACATTGAAATATCTTTTGATATAATTTTGACAGCCATCTTTTTTTTAAATGAACTCTCTGTTTCTAAAATATAATAACATAGTATTCCATTCCATGTAACCTAGTACTACGAATCTATGTTTAATTGAACTATGAATTTAGTAGATTTATAGTACTGTGTTGGTGTCTATTCTAGTACTACGAATTTATCTCATTCTGTTTTAGCATCTTATATTTTAGGAGAGGTAGGATTATTTTTAATCGGACGGAGTATACAAGTTGGAAACAAATACTACATCATTGTGTTGCATTTGCAAAAGCAGAGCCAACCAACTCTGTTTTTGTGCCAGCTACTATATTCCCCTAAAAATATTGTTGCATTCATAAATATTGGAGGTCAATTTTAAGCTAGGTCTATGTTCTCTGTTCCTGCATATGGTAGTTACTTGAAAAATCCTGAAAATATGATAACGTGCATTATGGTGCCATCTGTCGCTACACAAATATATAGTAATATATAAGTATAAAGGTTAGAGAAAACATGGCCGTGGGCCCTAGCAATGCGTTTCTGCACTAGCTAAATAGAATATATATAATATGTGACAAGACTAATTAATATTAAGAAGCACCATAGGTAGATCAAATTTAAAAATGTAAGGATGAAAAGGCATGTGTATGTACAACAAATTAAACAACAGAAAGTTTGACCATACGTATCATCCTGATTCCTTGTTTGGAAAGTACTACTCCAGATACGCTGCTTTTATATACTAGTATAAAAGCAAAACCGCCTATTTTCGTTAAATATAATGCATAATCTTTATTTGATCCAAAAAAGCTACATGATCAAACAGGAGTTTGGTACAGGGACTATTTTATCCTCATAGTCACCTCGTGCACTACCACATAAAAAGCACACGAGATCATGGGTTTACAACCGTTTCTACATTAAACAAAATGAAATGCTACCTAGTTTATTGCCAAATGAAGTATTTAGTCAATAAAGGAAAAGAAAGCATATATATGATTTACTGAATGAGATAATAATGTATATGTATGTTGGGATAAAAAAAATAAAACTGATGATTTTAAGTTACACACTGGCTGGCCTCCTCTGCCTTTTCTTTCTTCTTTCTGGGACAAGTTGACAAGGGCTAGTGGCTCAGCTTTATTTCTCTCTTTTGTGTGGGTCAAGAATTACCACTGTCTGCTGGGAGGTACCTTTGATTATTGATCACAGAAATGGAGGCCCATTCTGTTATGCTTGTGATACATCAATCATGTTTGCATGTGTGGGGAGAGACATGTAACATGACTGACAATGATCTCAGGACAGCATATATATCTTTCCAGCTTAATTTTGTTTTTAGTTCTTGACTTAGATCGGTATAAACCCCCTAAAACTCAATTGCACGTGAAAATAACAAACTCTCACTCGATCGCTGACATTTTGAGCTGATGGTCGGTACATGTGACTCAATATGTATAGGTTTTCGTCGCGGCGGTAACCAAGAGGAAACAAGTGTGCCCATCATCATCGTCGACGACAGCCGCCTCGCATGCTGTGATCCCCGCCACCGGTGCCGCCCCTGTCCACCGCATCAACAAATTCAGGTAGGTAAAAAAATATTTGTAAGTGGCACTGTAATATACTACTTATTTTTAAAAAATATATGGCACCGTTAACTTTTCGCATAATGTTTGACCATTCGTCTTATTCAAAAATTTAATATTAATTCATAAAAATATAAGTTAAGATTATATTTTATTTGATAATAAAACAAGTCACAACAAGATAAAAATAAAATTTATATAATTTTTTTAATAAGATTAATAGATAAATATTATGCCAAAAGTCAAATGGCGTGATATATTTCGAAGGAGTATAATAGTTTACTCATTTCATGTATGCATGCTTACAGGTTCTTGGACAAGGCGTGCGTGAAGGTTCAGGACGGCCATGGCGGCGGCGGCGACGGGGGGAAGGAGAGCGTGTGGCCGCCGTGCACGCCGGCGGAGGTGGAGCAGGTGAAGGTGCTACTGTGCGTGGTGCCCATCTTCGCGTGCACCATCGTCTTCAACACCATCCTGGCGCAGCTGCAGACGTTCTCCGTGCAGCAGGGCTCCGCCATGGACACCCGCATCGGCGGCGGCGGCGGCGGCGCCGCCTTCCACATCCCGCCGGCGTCGCTGCAGGCCATCCCCTACCTCGTCCTCATCGCGCTGGTGCCGGCGTACGAGGCGTGCTTCGTGCCGGCCATGCGCCGCGCCACGGGCGTGGACACCGGCATCACCCCGCTCCAGCGGATCGGGGTCGGCCTCTTCGCCGTCACCTTCTCCATGGTCGCCGCCGCGCTCGTCGAGGCACACCGCCGCCGCCACGCCGGCGACGGGCTCCTCTCCATCTTCTGGATCGCGCCGCAGTTCCTGGTGTTCGGCGTGTCCGAGATGTTCACCGCCGTGGGGCTCATCGAGTTCTTCTACAAGCAGTCGCTCTCCGGCATGCAGGCCTTCCTCACCTCAATGACCTACTGCTCCTACTCCTTCGGCTTCTACCTCAGCTCCCTCCTCGTCTCGCTCGTCAACAAGGTCACCTCGGGCGACGGCGCCGGCGCCGGCGGCGGCGGCTGGCTCAGCGACAACGACCTCAACAAGGACAGGCTCGACCTCTTCTACTGGCTCCTCGCCGGGCTCAGCCTCCTCAACTTCTTCAACTACCTCTTCTGGTCGAGGTGGTACTCCAAGAGTGTGGAGACGACCGTGCAGGTCGCCGGAGTTGGAGGAGAAGGCGGCGGCGGCGAGCAGCAGGAGGAGAAGGGTGTTGACGAGGTCAACATGGGTCACTGACATGTGGGTTCGAACCGCACGTCTAGTATATTAGGTGGATTATTAATCATTTAACCTAGTCTTAACCTTTTTTTTATGGTTTTTCCTTGTATGGAAAAATATTAGTAAGGGTGGATGTATATGAGTCCCCACCTAATTAAGGAGAGTGTGTGTGATGTATAAATTAATTAATCAAAAGGGATTAGGTGATTATTACTTAGTAATGATCCCTGATTAGGTCAAGTCAAAAGGTAGTAGTTCTGAGTTTGACTCTGCAAGGATGCAAGAGTAGTGGTATTTGGGTAGGGATCAAGTGATCAAGTACGTATCTAGTCCTTTTCTTTAATGATAAGGAGCTAGTATATATCTATGTACTTTATATATGTAGCTATCATGTAAATGACAAAAGGATTTGCCATAAAAGCAAAGTACTGATAATAGTTGGTGCAAAAAATACTTTCACTGTTGATCAATTTGGACATCCATTTCTCTTGGGAAAAATAATGTTAAATGACATCTTCTTTGATACTAGTAAGTTTCTAAGCCATTTGATATTATGGACTTCTTTTATATCGTAATCTGGTCGTGACTGGTTGATTGACAGACAGAATTATCACTTTGGGAGTTTGACAGGGTGTTGTTTTCAAAAGAAGAGGGTACCATACTTTTGCAAGAACACACATCTCAGTGCAACCATAAGTACACGTGTCATGTCCCTGTTGGCTACTTTCCTTCTGCCTCTAATTATATGCGTGTTAAATTGAACTAGAGCGTGATCAGACGGTTCACGGTGGATGGCAGCTGGGAGCAATGCATGATTAACTGTAAACTTGGGGACGTTTTTGCAAAATGTTTGCTAACGTGGCGCTCTAAATCTCCAGGATTCCCACGACGTTTAGATAGATTAATATCACTTATGACATGGTATGACACATTGAGAAGCCTTCATACATATATTCATGAATCTGATGATAGCACAGGTGATATTTAATCAAGTTCAAAATTTCAGGAGAAATAAACAGGCCGGGGGAGTTCTTTTTTTTTCTCTAATTTATGTGTGGGTTGGCACTGTTAATTATACTAATAAATCGAGTTAGAAGAAATACTAACATGTAACAAAAATGCAGATTCTAGTGAATATTGCCGTTTCAGTTAACTGAGCTGTCCCTCCTAATGCGCCACACTGACTACTGGTTTTCTTAAATGGATTAAGTAAACATGCATATTTGCTTGAAGTTTCTTATTTGTCAATTGTAATATGTACCGTTGTGTTGTTACATGTATATTGATAACAAAAGCTTATGCAATTTATAAGGAGCAACAAGTAAAAAATAAAACTCTGCCTGAACTTTAAAAAATATGCTTGAATCCTTCCATTAGTTCCAACTATGAAATAACTGAATTTACATACTGAAAAATCAAACCCTGTTAATATCGATTGGCATCATTCGATGATAATTGAAGAAAGTGTGCCAATATGTGTACATAAACTGGACACTTGTCTATAGGTGCATCTAATGCAACGTAGGGATGAAACCAGTGACACGCCATCCTTCTGTGGAACATTGCAATTTCTTTGTGGAAATCAGTGGCATGCCAATCACCGAGAGAATATATATAGCGCCTTTTCCATGTGGGGAATATTACAAATTTTGAGTTCAATCCACATTACCCTAAAAGTGATCTCTAGTAGATATGAGCAAGGCATAGTACTAAAGCAACATTGATTAAAGGAAAAAGTACGAATTACACCCCCGAACTATCGTGGTCGTCCGAATTACCCCATGAACCATAAAACCGGACATTCTTCACCCCCAACTATGCAAACCGGACGAATTACCCCCCTCGGTTCAATCCACGGTGGTTTTGGTCTATGTGGCGTACGCGTGGCAGTCCAGTCAGCATTGTATTTATAAAAAAATTGTGGGACTCACGTGTCATACTCTTCCTCCCTCTCTTCTCTCTCTGTATGCCTCACTTTTCCTATCTCTCTCTTACCGGTGGGTCGGCAGCGGCGGGCGACCACGGGCGGCGGGCGAGGAGCTGAGGCCGGCGACGAGCGGGGGCGGAGGAGGCGGCGGGCGGCGGTCAAGGAGCCGAGGCCGGCGACGGGCGGTGGCGGAGAAGGCAGCGGGCAGCGGGTGGGCGCGAGGCTGGCGACGGGCGGGGGCGGAGGCGGCAGCGGGCGGCGGTCGAGGAGCCGAGGTCGCTCGAGCGCCGGCGGGGGGCGAGGAGCCGAGGCTGCGGCGGGCGCGGCTCGAGCGACCTCCTTCTTGCCGCCCCCATGTGTGCGCGAGTGCAAGGCGCTTGGAGAGCGCGCCGCGAGCCCACCCGCGGCGGCGGAGGAGGAGAGGCGGCGGCGACGCGAAGAGCCGCGGCCCCCGCGCGCCGGCGGCCACCGCGTGCCTACGACGAGGAGGAGGAGCCCGCCGCCCACCGCGCATCCCCGCTCCGCCGCCTGCCGCCGACCGGACGAGGTCCGCCTCTGCCGCCTGCTGCCGACCGGGCGAGGACCGCCTCCGTCGCCTGCTGCCAGTCCGCCTCCGCCACCGACTGCCCGGATGAGGTCCGCCCGCCACTGGCTGCCATTCCGAGAGCATGCGCAAGAGAGAGCAGGGGGATCCTCGGCGCCGCCCGCCGCCGCCGCGTCCTCCCGCCGCAGCCGTCCGAGCTGCGGGCGCCTCCTCCGCCGCTCGAGCTTCGCCTCCGCCCATCGCCATTGCCGCCCCGAGCTCTGCCCGCCGCCGTCATCTGCTTGCTCTGCGAGCGCCCCCTCCGCCGCCTCGACGAGCCGCGCACCGGCAGTTGCGGGCGTCTCGAGCTTCGCCGCCCCGAGCGCCGGCAGCTACAGGCTCCTCCTCCGCCACCCGAGCTCCGCCTCCGCACATCGTCGTCGCCGCCCCTCTCCGCCGTTGCCTCTCGGTGACAGAGAGATGGAGGTCCACCGCCGGCGCCCGTTCTTGGCGAGAAGAGAGAGAAGAGGGGACAAACTGACAAGTGGGACCCACGCGTACGCCACGTGTACTGCCACGTGTACTAACTGGACTGCCACATGTACGCCACGTGGACCAAAACCACCGCGGATTGAGTCGAGGGGGGTAATTTGTCCGGTTTGCATAGTTGGGGGTGAAGAATGCCCGGTTTTGTGGTTCGAGGGGGTAATTCGGACGACCACGGTAGTTCGGGGGGGTAATTCGTACTTTTTCCTTGATTAAAAAAATTGCCATTTTTTGCTCCTAAAAGACAGGCCAATCTTTAGCCCTTGCAGTGCCCGGAGTACCTTTGTAGACATGCAGGAAAGACACCATATTGATGCTGCACTCTAGAGCCAAACCTGTCTTTCCATCTATCAGCTCCAACAATAAGGTGCTTTTAATAAAGCAAGTTAGGTAAATAAGGGTCTCTGACATGCCAGCCCAAACCATTTTACCTTGTCTTTTACATCTTTCCCTTTGTTGTTTCCATATTTTTGTGGTTTTTCCTTGAATGAAAAAAAAAGCGACGGGGAGTATATTGGTCTTCACATAATTAACGCGAGCAATTGTGATGGATAAATTAAGAGTAAATTTCACGAAACTACGCGTTTTGTGGTCCAAGTTGTAGAAAACCACACACGTACATATATTTTGGTTGTGTAGTTTCACAAAACCACACTATTGATGAATGGATTCATCCGCGAGATGGCGTGGTTATTTCACCTAGGACGAACCACGTCATCTCACGGGTGAATCCATTCATCAATAATGTGGTTTTGTGAAACTAAACTACCAAAATATATATACTTAAGTGCCAAGTGTCAAAATGTGTGTAGTTTTCTACAACTTGAACCATAAAACATGTAGTTTGGTGAAATTTACTCATAAATTAAATACTCTATCCATCCTAATGTGTAGCTAAAAAGGCACTCTTTCAGAAAAAGAGGAAGTAATTAATTAACCACAAAGGTTTTAGGTGATTACTTAATAATTAGACCCAGCTGGTTCAAGTAAGAGGTAGTTACAGTTTGACACTGCAAGGATGCATTAGTATTCAGATCGACCTCGCAAAAAAAAGTATTCAGATCGAATAAAGTATCTAGTTTTGATGATAGGGGGAAACTCTTCTGTAAAGGAGACATCATGATCTCTTTATCTCAAAGTAAATAGTTATGAAAAATTCTCAAAATATTTGATGATGTCGATGCACTATCTGACTATCACTACGCCAGATCCTCACACCTCTGACGGGATACCTGTGACGGGCAAACGATTTGGTCACTAGTGACCATTACCTCTGACGGGTCAGACGGGATAACGTCACCGGTGAGCCATCCGGCCGCGGACCGTCACAGGTATCCCCTCACCTATGACGGGCCGATACATTACAAGCCGTCACAGGTGCTGGCCGCCACCTGTGACGGCTTTCATTTCTGGCCCGTCACAGGTGAGGGGATACCAGTGACGGGCCACTGAATAGAAGCTCGTCAAAGGTATGACCAATACCTTTGACGGGCTTTTTTTATCTAACCCGTTTGAGGTGTGTTGGGTCTATAAATACCCCCCAAACTGCCAACTGCTTTCCATCCCGACCATTTTACTGTTCACAAATCGGTTGGGAGGGCAAGGGGGGCGATTTTTTGCTAAAATTCAAGGTAAAAAACACATTATTCTCCATTCATTCTCAATATATCGATCGTCATATATTTTTCTTCGTATGTTGTTGATTTCAGATGGATCGTAGATGGATGTACTATGCGCATCGTTCGTCTACCGAGTATAGAGAGGGGGTCACTGAATTTGTCACATTTGCGGATAATGACAGAAAAAGTAGGATGAGCATGCACATGTTGTGCCCATGTAGGGACTGTAAGAATGAACAGATGATCGAAGACAAGGATGAAGTGCATACTCATTTGATAATGAATGGATTCATGAAGAAATATACCTGCTGGACCAAGCATGGAGAGCAAGAGGCGCCTGATGTCGCAGTTGAAGAAGTGTTGGATCAGGATGTAGAGAACACCGCCGCAGCTCGAGAAGGCATGTTCGTACCTTCTCCTTTAGGTGGAGAGACCATAGATTTGGACACTCAATGTCTATCTATAATGTTGCATGACATTGAAGACGCAGAGGACAACGACAGAGATTTTGAGAAGTTTAGTAAGTTGGTGGAAGATTGTCAGATGCCGTTGTATGATGGATGCAAGTCGAAGCACAGCAAGTTGTCATGCGTGTTGGAACTCATGAAGCTTAAGGCTAGTAATGGCTGGTCGTTCAAGAGTTTTACAGAACTTCTCGAGCTATTAAAGGATCTGTTGCCAGAGGGGAACAATTTACTGCAGACGACATATGAAGCGAAGCAAGTATTATGTCCGTTGGGCCTGGAGGTCAGAAGAATTCATGCATGTCCGAACGACTGCATTTTGTATTACAAGGAATACGCTGACTTGGATGTCTGCCCTATCTGTGGGGCATCAAGATACAAACGAGCAAAG